TAATGTCGAATATGACTTGTGTGCAAAATTTGAGGTCAATCGGACGTGATTTGACNTCGAATGTAGAAGTTTGAAATTTCAAAGTTCATAAAGTTTGGATTGGAGTGCGATTCATGATTTCGACGTTGTTTAATGTGATTTGAGGCCTCGATCCAGTTTGTATCATGTTTTGGGACATATTGGTATAATTGGTTAAGGTCCCGAGGGCCTCGGGTGGATTTCGGAAGGTTAACGGAATGAATTTCGGACCACAGAGTTGCTGAAATTTTCTGCAGAAAGCTATTTTGACAGCAACTAGGGCAATCACAGAGATGAATTTGGAAGCTTATATCTCGAAATATATAAAGAATTTGAAAATTTGCAAACCATAAAAGTTATTGCCCTTGCATTCTAGTTTCCAGAAAGTTAAATCATTCATGATTTTGACATTTTATCAAATTTATGATCGATTGAAGATGGCTGGTGGAGCAGATTCGACAGAATATTCTGATGCATGGAGCCGACTTTAGAAGCTCATATCTCGTAATATATAAAGCATTATATGGTGTACAACCTATCAAATTAAAGATATTCAAGTCTAGTCTCTAAATCTTCAAACCGTTTGTCATTTGGATATTTCTACAAGGAGTTATAGGCGTTTTAGCAGAAGGTGTACAGCAGAGGAAAATTGTTATAGGATGTACATCCTGCACAGCGCAAGGTACAACTCGATGAAGCCTGGGCAGAATGTTTTAAAAGGCTATTCCGCGACTTTGAACCTAACTTCCACCATTTTTGAACGGGAAAAGAGCTTTGAGGCGATTTTGAAGAGAGGAAATCATTGTTCTTCATTTAGGTAANGGAAATCATTGTTATTCATTTAGGTAAGGATTTTGGACCCTAAAACTTGATTATTTATGATTAAGGAATAAAATATCAGTGTTTAATTCATGAAAATCAGTAAAAAGGTGGAGTTAGGGCTTGAGATTATGAGACCTTCTAGGGATGATTTGAGGGGTCAAACGAACTCCGATTTTCGAGTTCATTATATGTACGGACTCGTGAGATGATGAAGAACATTTTGGTATAAAGTTTGTCCAGTTCCGGTACGCAAGCCCGGGGGTCGGGTTTTGACTGATTTCGAATTTTGTGCTTAAAATCGATATTTTTCATTTGGAATTCGTTCGTTTAGCATAATTTGATGATAAAAATCTGAACTTGGTAGATTTGGAGAACTCGAAAGTTGGTTCGAGAGGCAAGCATGTTGCAGAGTAGCTTTTCGGGCTAGTTCGAGGTGAGAAATAATTTTAAATGTTGTTCTGAGGGTATGAAACCCCGGATTACACAACGTTCGGCTTTGTTGAGGTGACGTACATGCTAGATGACGAGCATGGGGTCGTGCATCGTTGGGGATTGTGACTTAGTCCATCCCGAATGACTATTTTTCTATATCTGGTAGCTAATTGTTTGATATTATTATACTTTAGGCTAAATGTCATATTTGGGCTTTGTGCCAACTGTTTGAACCCTTAGGGGATCGTTAATGATATTTTCCTCATTGTTTGATTTCATACTTGTGTTCAGCCATGCCATATCTTTCAATGTTTTCAAAACTCAGCTATGTTAATCTGTTTTAGAAACCTTAAATTATGTTTTAAAGATATTTTGAGCGGAGCTGCATATTTTACTGTTGCCCGGGGGGCTTATGAGATTCTGACTGAGTAAGGCCGAGAGACTGTATTGTGAGGATGCTTTTGGGTCGGGCTGCACGTCGCAACAATGATATACTGATTAAATAATGAGGCCAAGAGCCTGAGATTGTACGCCACGAGGTAGCATAATATTGATATGAGGCCGAGAGCCTGTTTATGATGCCACGAGATAGCTTGATATTGCGCTTAGGCCATAAGGGGCCCCTCCAGGAGTCTGCACCCCCCCCCCCCNGCTGGATATTGCGCTTGGGCTTTAAGGGGCCCCTCCAGGAGTCAGCACCCCCCAGTGAGTGCGGGTACCCATTGTGATATGAGATATAGCCCGAGGGGCTGATATTGATGATTATTGTGCCCGAAGGGCAGTTCTTATGTGTTTACTATTCCTGGTTGGTTTCCCTATATATTTTTTAACTACTTAAGAAGGTGTTCTATGAGATTTCATAGTTAAATTGTGTTTTTGTTATGCCTCTGATAACTAAATGTTGTGTTTAACGTGATTTTATATCGTTCAGTCCTCATTTATTTTTATTACTCATTGAGTTGGAAGTACTCACTTTACTCCCTGCACCTCTTTGTGCAGATTCGGGCGCTACAGGTCCTGCTACTACTGAGGGTGGATAGTTCCAGCAGATCTTCGGAGGTTTACTAGGTAGCTGCTTGGCGATTCGCAGCCCAGTGCAACCTCCCTCTATCTTATTTCCTTTCTGATTCAGTTATTTAGTAGTAGAGTAGACTTTCAGATTTGTAGTATTGTTTTAGATGCTCATGACTAGTGACACCCCGATGTCGGGTTGTGTTGGTTTTTAGTTCCGCAAATTATACTGGTAAATGCTTATTTTGGGATTTTAATTCTAATTAAAGACTTAGTAGTTATTATTTTAATTTCTTAAGTGAATTGGAGGTGTGTCGGCTGGCCTTGTCTTCACGAGAGGCGCCATCACGACCGGGTTGGGTTTAGGGTAGTGACAGTTGAACCATGTAAACTTCTTCAAGCAGACTATCATTTAGGAAAGTAGTTTTAATATTCATCCAGTGCAACTCTAAATCAAAATGAGTCACAAGAGCCATCATAACTCGAAATGCATCCTTGGATGAAATAGGAGCAAATGTTTCTTTATAATCAATGCCCTCTTTCTGATTGTAACCCTTAGTAACCAACCTTGCTTTATAATGGTCTATGTTTCCCTTGAAGTCTCTTTTAGTTTTAAACACCCATTTGCAACCAATAGGCCTAAAACCTACAGGCAATTCAGCTAACTCCCACACTCTATTATGTTCCATATAGCGCATTTCATCTTTCATTGTCTCACACCATTTATCAACATATGGAGAGGAAATAACTTGAGCATATAATAGAGGATCAGTCAACTCTCCAATATCACTAAGATTTTCAGTCACATACATGATAAAATCATCAGAGATGGCAGACCTTCTTTATCCTTGTGACCTGCGGAGTGTTCATTGTGTACATTTGCTCAGAAACTATGGGATCTGCGTCGTTGTTCCCTTGATTTCCCCTTTATGAATAGGTTGGTTTACCAACTTTTCATGTACAACAGGTACAGGGACAATGACTTCTTTCTCTTTCAATATAATTTCCTTACCACATGAACAATCACAATCACAAACATCATGCTCAAGAAATTTTGCATTACTGACTCAATGATTCTAGTGCCACACCCATATTAGAAAAACCTAAAATCTTTAGAGTGATCAGGATAGCCTATAAAGAAACAACTGGTAGTTTTAGGATCAGTTTTCTTTTCTGTGGTGAATAAATACGAACTTCAGCTGGACATCCCCAAATGTGAAAATGATTCAAGCTAGGTTTTTGGATTGTCGAAGGTTCAAAGGGAATTTTCAAGACAGATTTTGTAGGAACTCTATTCAGGATATAGCTAGCTGTTTTTAAGGCTTCACCCCAAAGATACTCAGGTAGCCTATTCCTTGACATCATACTTCTCGTCATTTCCATAAGAGTACGATTCCGTCTTTCAACCACACCATTCTGCTCAGGAGTACCTGACATGGTACATTGTGCTACTATCTCACATTCTTGCAAAAATAAATCAAAAAGCCACATGCATTGACCAGACTCATCAAAATTTTCCATAGTACTCACCACCACAGTCAAACTCACTATTTTAATGGACTTCCCAAGCTGTTTTTCAACTTCCGTCTTGTAAATTTTAAACTTATCAAGTGCTTCAGATTTTTCTTTTAAAAGAGATATATAACAGTATCTTGAAAAGTCATCAATAAAAGTAATAAAATACTTATGATTGGTCAAAGTAGGTACATAAGTTCCACTAATATCAGTATGAATAATTTCTAAGAGGTCAGAGCTCCTAGTAGAACCCTTTCTCTTAACTTTGGTCATTTTACCCTTAACACAATCCACACAAGTTTCAAAATCTTTAGGATTAAGAACAGGTAAAATATTTTCCTTTACCAATTGTTCAATTCTTTCTTTAGAAATATGACCAAGACGTTTATGTCATAATATATAAGACGTTTTACTAATAGCAGACCTTTTGTGGGCAATATTTTCAACATGCATTGCAGAAAAAGTTTCATTCAAGCAATATAGACCATCACTTAAAAAGGCATCAGCAACAACTTGTGAATTATAGGAAATTTTAATAATACCATTATTTTGTGAAATGAATAACCAGCTTTGTCCAAAAGGGAAATCGAAACTAATTTCCGTCTCATAGACGGTACAAAAATAGTATTTTCTGAATGAATACTAGAATTATATTTAAAAAATAAAATAGATGTCCCTATAAACTCTACTTTTGCTTTGAGTTCATTGCCCACAACAACACTAGTTTTATCCTTTTTTGGCTTCCGTCTGCTTACAAGGTTCTGCAAGTCATTGGTTACATGAACAATTGTACCACTATCCAACCACTAGGAATTTAAAGGAACATGAACAAGATTAGTTTCAAAGCAAACAAAATCCAAAAGATTATCTGATTTCTTTTTCAGAGGACAACCGGCTTTCTTATGACCTACTTGTTTGCAATTCCAGCACTTGATTTCTTTCTTAATTACAGCTTGAGGACCAAGTGGATTATGAGACTGACCTTGGTTAACACCAGGCTTATTAGTATGACCACTATTACCACCTGGATGATGAGACTGACCATATTTCTTTTAATGAAATTTGGATTCACTTTTTCTTTTATAAGAGGGATAATTAGCTGATCTAGAGGAACTAACAAAGTTCACTACACCCTCAACTTTCTCCTTTTGGATCCTCCCTTCCTCTACCACAAAAACAGTAATAAGTTCATCAACACTCCACTAATCTTTTTGTGCATTATAAGTTGTCTTAAGATGGTTAAACTGCTCAGGAAGGGACCTTAGAGATTGGTGAACAAGAAAATCATCGGTAATGATTACACCTAAATTATTCAGTTTGGTAGCAATGTTAACCAATTTCATAATATGATCACGAACACTACCTACAAGGTCATACTTTATGGTAGATAGGGAATCAATCAGGCTATCTATCTCAACTTTATCAGATTCTAGGAATTTCTGTCCAATGGCACTCAAAAAATCTTTTGCATTTCCATTATCCTTAATCGCACCTTTTATGTGATCAGAAATAGATCTCTTCATGATCATAAGACTCAATTTGTTAGCCTCCATCCATTTCTCATACTTAACCTTTTCATCAGCAGTGCTAGTAGTTGTGGGTTTAGTGGGTTTCTATTCAATCAATGCAAAGTCCAGGTCCATCAGGCCTAACACTATTTCAACATCCTGTTTCCACTTCTTGTAGTTGCTACTAGTTAGAGTTTCAATGGAATTCAACTGAGTAGTCATGTTGTTAACAGCTGTATAAGCAAACAACACAAAATTAGATAAAATTATGGGCATGAATATATAAATCAAAAGAGTCAAAGACATCTACTACACCCCTCCTTTGGGTAGAAGATGCAACTGTCTCCCCTTTTAAAAAAAATCAACGAGTCCAAGGCATTCATTGCATCCTCACCTTTAGGCAAGAGATACAAAACCTCCCCCCTATTATCCAAGAGTACAAGGCATACATTGTGTCCTTCCTTTAGGTAAGAGACACAAAACCTCCTCTTACAATAACTTATCCTTAGCATTAATTTAGCGTCACTAGTATTAAAAGGAAAATCTCCAACACTAGTGTACACTTGCAAAGGATAATTTGGACATGGTGCATTGAGAATATTTTAATGACTCAAATAAACAAACCACTTTGGTGGAAACTATTTATTAATCATATCTCTCAATCCATGTATTAAATGATCTCACATGTAAGTATTATTAAGAACTTTTTAGTGACTCAAAATATATAGACCACTTTGGTGACACTATTTATTAATCATAATTTCTTAGTTATACACATTAATACATGTGATAAAATAACACCCATGTAATTTAAACTTTTCTATCTAGTTATTAATTCCATTCTCCAACTAAAATTATCATAAAAGTTTCCAGCAATTCTTAAGTACTACTTTTGCAGTAAGCTAAAAGGGCATAAACAAATTTGTAATTGTCAAATACAACCAAGATTTTTGATTAACTAACGAATAAAAAATTGATAAACATAGATCAGGACACAAATCCAATAGTGACACATCAACCAAGGTACTCAATCAATTCTCAGTAGCCACTTTAATTATTAATGTTTGCCATAGTCACTGTAACATGAAAATTTTAACTAAGAAAATAACCATATAGATTTACGAGCCGCAAACGTTAATATCATAACTAATGGAATCAAGTCCATCCCTTTAAAACTTAACATAACCGTAGCCTCCAGAAAACCTTTACCGATGTCTCCGCCAACAGCAAACATCAAGGTTTTACCAAAATTTGTTATTATATTTTATATATAAAAATCAATCACAACTTCCAGCATATTCAATCAAACACAGCCGCTAAATACCGATGAAACAGTTTTGGCGAGAAATAGCGTTGTCGTCTAAAATTTTACGATAGTTCTTTTCGTTTGAAAACTCAAGATTATATCTTGATCTTAATCTCGAAACTATGGTGGCTCTGATACCAACTGTTAAATTATTAATTCGCATCCATAGCAGAGATTAAGACACAATCATACAGATATAAAATCATAATCTTGAGTTAGAGTTTAAGGAAGCATACCGTTAAACTCCATAGATTCAGCAGCGACAGCAAACGGCGATTAAGTCTGAGACCAACTTCCACAATCCACTAGCTACGCGCTCTCACAACCCGGAGAACTTGACTGATGGGACGTCTACCGTTACCACGTATTCAAGAGGCAGAATACGCTATGGTTTTCTAATAGCTAGGAAAAGGGGGTTAGCCTCTATTTATAAAGAGTGTATACCCATCACATGCCAACTTTTATTGGGTCTCACTTATCCACACATATAATATTTAATATTAGGCCTTTTATTTATTCATCACTTGGGCCACGTCACTATCCTTTCGGGCTATAACCAATTAACGTAAGTCCAAATTCCAACACCTCAAGCTAAAAAAGAAAAAACAAGCACATTGACAGAGAACTAATGTCGTTCAAGCAACTGTATCACTTGTTTAACTCAACATTAGGTAAAATGTTTCACTTAATAGCATACATGATATATGAAAAAATAAAAAATCAGGTTGGTATTCTCTAGTTTCTCACCAGATCATGATTGATGCCTTTTAATTTCCTCACACCCCTTTGCCCATACAGCTTTCATTACTTCTGGATGAGCTAGAAGAAGAGTACAAAAGCCGGTGAAGGGAGCAAAAGTTTTAGTGTTTGATCGAGAAGAGGTAATTTATTATCACACTAAATTATAAAGTGTGTAATCAATGCTCTATAGAGATACAAAATCAATGATAATAGAGAGTAAGAAATTTGAATTCGTTTATGGCAAATGAAAAGAGCAAAGGAAAGAAGAGGATGAAAAATAGTAGCTTTAAGAAAATAAAAACAAACAATAATGACCCACTATAATAGGAAAAAGAAAAAATTCAATTACCAATTCTCCCTCTGTGATACCCAAAAGGTCATCACTTGTTTTAAAAGTAAATTCTGTATTCCGAAGCCTTAAAAACCTCCTTTTATCTCACTTCGATTTGCGTGCGCGGTCTGGGCGTATATCCGGAATGCTTTTATGTGAAAATTCGATAAAAATGCTAATTTGGTCTTTAAAATTATTTCGGTCAATATTTTGGGTAAACGGACCCGGACCCGTGATTTGACAGTCCGGAAGGGTCCATAGAAAAATATGGGACTCAGGCGTATGACCGAAATTGAATCCGAGGTCCCAAGCCCGAAAAATGAATTTTTGAAGAAAATTATTCAACTGAAATTATAAGAGTTATTGGAAATTTAAATGTGTTTGAATTTGATAGTCGGGCCCGTATTTTGGTTCCGGAGCCCTATACAGGTCTTATATGGTATTTAAGTTGAGCATGTAAAATTTGGTAAGAAACGGACTTGATATTACGTGAATCGGACCCTCGGTTGTTAAAATTTGAACTTAAGAGTTCTTGAGATTTTTCTTTGATTTTGATGCTAAATTCGTTGTTAAAGATGTTAATTAGTTTGATCGCACGAGTAAGTCCATATGATATTTTTGAGTTAGTATGCATGTTTGGTTTGGAGCCCCGAGGGCCCGGGTGAATTTCGGATATGTTTCGGGGTGTTTTGGACTTAAGATTTTCTACTGTCTTGCTGCTTCTGGTGTACTGATGTGTTGTTCTTTGCGTTTACGATGCAGCTCAAGTGAACGCGAAGTACAAGCTGGGTTGGGGAGGGTTTTTTCCATCCCGAACGAGTAGCCACAGTCGCGAACGCGGAGTACTAGGGGGTTGCTCATCGCGAACGCGCGGTGTCACACGAACGTGTAGTGTAAAATGGAGGTCAGCTAGGAATTTGTCATTTCTTCTACGCGAACGCGTACTTTTGTCCGCGAACGTGAAGGCCAGGGGGCTTATCCTTTGCAAATGCGTAGGAGATCTCACGATCGCGTAAGCCTAAGGAAGGCTGCTCTTCACGAACGCGGCAGGCTCTTCGCGAACGAGAAGAAGGCATGCCCAGTCTTGTTAAAACATAACCAAAAACGGGCAGAACTCATTTTTATCATATTTTCGAACTACCAAGATCTAGAGGCGATTTTCTTCACACAAATTCATCCCCAAAGTGTTGGTAATCAATTCTAAACTCTACTCTTTCAATTACCCAATGTTTTTCATCACTTTTTAATCAAAAATCAAGAATTCTCATGATAGAAATTGAGAATTTTGGTATAGTTAGGGCTTTTTGAATAATTGGAATTTAGACCTTGTTTTAGGATTGAATTTCGAAACTAATTGCATATTCGGGCTCGTGGGTGAATGGGTGATCGGGTTTCGGTCCGAACCTCTAGTTTTGACCAAGCTGGCCCGGGGTCAATTTTTGACTCTTTGGGGGAAATGATAGAAAACCTATAATTAAGCATTAGGTATGAATTCTTTAGCATTTATTGATGTTGTTAAATTAGTTTGGGCTAGATACAAGTAACTTGGAGGCGAATTCTAAAGGAAAAGCGATGTTTGAGGCTTGAGTTGGTCGTGGGAGTTCGAGGTAAGTGTTTGGTCTAACCTTAGCTTGAGGGAATAGGAATTGTGCTTTATTTGCTATGTGCTAGTGTAAAATATCTATACATCGTTGTCAAGCATGCTCGTGAGTCTTAAATTGTAATCGTTGTGTTTCTTAATAAGTACTACAAATGCCTAAATTGTTGATTCTCCGTATTGGGCAAGAATTATGATTATCTTTGTGGTATTTGTTTATTGTTGAGCATTGGCTCCAGTTGAGGTTTCATCTGTGAAGTTAATTGTTGGTACAAGTTTGGTTATAGCTGATTCCCTTGCCGGAACGTATTTAATTCGTATTGTTGGTTCCCTTGCAGGGATGTATTTATTCTTGTTGTTGATTCACTTGCCAGGATATTGTTGTTTCCTTATTGTTCCCTTGTCGGGATTCTTTTGTGATTGGTGTTGATTTGTATATTGGGATCGGGTTGCACGCCGCAACAATATTATATGGGATCGGGTTGCACGCCGCAACAAGGAGTAATAAGGATGGATAGGAGGGGTCGGGTTGCACGCCGCAATAGTGATATATGATTTGGATCGGGTTGCATGCCACAACAGTATTCTATGATTTGGATCGGGTTGCACGCCGCAACAGTGTTATATGATTTGGATCGGGTTGCGCGCCGCAACAATAAAGAATAAAAGTAAACATTGATTCGTTACTGTTTTCCCTTATTCTTACTAATGCGAATTTTAAGATGTTCTTTATGTTTTTCTCCTGAGATTTTGTTGGTACTTGATATTCCCCGCAGCATGCCCCTTCCCACCCCCACCCCCATTTTTAATTGCTAGTTCTCGTTATTATTACTTGCCGTATATGCTTTAACTGCACAGGTTTATTTGGTAGTCTTGTCCTAGCCTCGTCACTACTTCGCCGAGGCTACGCTCGACACTTACCAGCGCATGGGGTCGGTTGTACTGATACTACACTCTGCACTGTGTGCAGATCTCGGTACCAGAGCTTTTGGACCATAGAGAGGTTGTTGCCTTCAGTCCAGCGGAGACCCAAGGTAGTCCTGCAGACGTCCGCATGCCTTGGCATCCCCTTCTATCCTTTCCATTCTGTTTTTATGTATTTCAGAGACAGATTTGTATTTTTCATTCAGACCACTGTTTGTAGTATTCGTAGATGGTCCGTGACATTATAACACCAAATTCTAGATAGAGTTGCATGTTGGATTCTGTACTAGTACTTAGTTATATTAGCAGCTTTCGTCTTCCGCATTTCTTTTATTATTATGGTTATTCTACTGTTAATCGCATGCTAAGTTGGAAATGTTAAAAGGTTAAGGAAAAAGGATAATAAAATCTATAACACTAAGCTTGCCTAACTTTCACGAGTAGGAGTCATCACGACTCTCGAGGGTAGAAATTCCGGGTCGTGAAACCCTCGAATGGTGGAGATAGAGTTAATCATACCTCTGGGAATCCAAACAACCCATCCCAGCAACCCTTTGCTTGGTGAACGGATGGAAAGGAGATATTAAGTTGCCTATATTATATAGTACTTGGTCTTGTAAAGCACATCTAAGTCGTAACCTCAAATACTTGAAAGTTGTATCACCAATAAATATGTATCAAAGAAGAGTGGGAAAAGTCTAGTTTGCTGATGATTATAAGGAGAGCAGTTCAGATTATAAAGTGTAATGGAAGCTTTTTGAATCTCATTTGGCTAATTACAGAAATAACAAAACTACTTGAAATTAAGTTCAAATCATAGTACTATGGTTTGTGCAAACCTTGAGCAACATTTTTTTACATATGGGTGATGTGGCTAATTTGTCCGTTCTTCAAAATAAGTTCTGATTACTAAAGAGATATACATAAAATATACCCCAATTCAACATGAAACATATGTAAATTACAGGTTATATCTTACAATAAAATCTCCCATAAACAAATAGAGTGCTAACTCAGGTCCATGCACAGCAAGATTATTAATGTCTAAATCCAAAGCAATTGACATGTATGGTTTAACAACCTTTTCAATATGACTATTTTTGTCCTCATAGTCATCATCTCTTTCATACAGTTTCATTTTCCAGTACAGTGAAAGCCTCTTGATAGAGCACATATATTAAAAGACATCATTTGCAGTCGATAAGGTTATTTACAATTGATAAAATTCTCATATCGTTCATTGGTATAGTTGTACATGTCCTTTAATAAAGATGACTTTTTCGATTTAACCAAGAGCTAACACGATTCGCTTATCCCAAAGCTAGCAAATTTACCCCACAATGGAACCAAAAATATAACATCAGGAATGAAGAAAAATTTATGCTTCTTGATATTTGAAATACCAAAATGATAACAGGATAAAATATACAAATAAAAACACAGATGAATACCCAAATGAAATATCAAGAGACTGAGAAACAAAGGTTGGTAAGAGGTTTTACTTGAGAAAAAGATGAGTATTGGAGGAGAGAAAATGGGTAGAACTTTCATTTGTAAGCCAATTCTGGACATGCATGTGCTCAGCCAATCGAGTCTACTAATGTGTGCAGTTGCAGAACATATGTCAAAAGAGAAAAACAATTAAAAAAAATCAACTGATTTAGGCATATTATCAAACACCATCAATACAAATTGGATACAGTCATAAGAAACTATCCAAAAGATTAGAGAAACTGCCATATACCCACCATAATCTCATTAGCAATAATCGGGTGCATTAAAAGAATTATAAGAATATAGTAAAACTCACCACAATTGAGTAGAATAAAGCACACACCAGAGTCAATTTGGAACTCAAATTAAGAAATTAAAAAAAAACTCAATTGCAGATGCATGCGTGTGCAAGATTATCCAACTAAACCAAGCAAGAGGAGGAAATTTAAACGGAACTAACCAGAATGAGCGGAGCAATAGAAGCAACAATGGAAGAGAAACCAAACTAAAAGTATAATCAGAACAGATAGGATAAATGACTGCAGAAAAAACAGTAGAAAGAGAGTGATATAACATGGAATAAGCAAATTCGATTTGTGTATGGCAACTGAAACTCACCAAAGCAAAGAGATTTACACTTTATAGGAGTGAGAGTGAAGCCCAGAAGAAAGTTGAGATAATCTGAAGTCTGAACTTGAGCATAGAACGTAAATGTGGACATGACAGAGCAACAACGTAGTTGTTCTTGAAGGAGCCGGAGAAGAGTGGTAGCAGAAGAAAGAGAAGATTGCCATATTGCTTCTGGGCTGAGAGTAGAGGACGTTGGAGAAATCGTAGATGAACATCAGTGGTACGCGTGGTTTGCTTACAAAAAAGAAACATTACACGTGTTATCACTCCAAAATAGGTCCAAGTGTATAGTACCATTCACATAAATATTGGTACAATAAGTCACTTGCAGTGTTCGTCCTCCTTGTTCATTTATCTACACTACTAGATGAGGCAAGCCCGTGCATTGCATGGGCCCAACACAGCTGACAATGTTTCTATGTTTGTTTTAAAAAAAATTTGATAGGCAAATGCAAAGTTTTATTCATCATAAAAGACTAAAAGAGCACTAAGTGTTGTTGAATATAGAGGGGATACAAATACAAGTAGGAGATCTGAGGAATTCATATTATATACATCTTTCATTTTGGTTCAAATATTTGTGTTCGAGTGCGTGAACTAAGTATTCTTCATTTCTGAAACATATATGTTTCTTTCGTTCTAAATACCTAAAAAATGCAGGCTGAAATTGTATTCGGTACATCCTTGAAATGTTCTTTACTTTTCTTGTTCATCCAACTTATAATAGGTTCTTTTAAAGTACCAGGCATCAGCCATTTGAGTTTAAACAATCTTAGAAACGTCCACTAGTTGAGAAGCAAAGGTAAATGTATTTGCTCGATAAAAATCCAATTACTTCACCGAATGGCTTCAGCTTCCTCTAGGCACATGTAGTATTTTAAGCATATAGTTTCACCAACATGTTTGCTTGAGTTGGTCAGTGCAGTCCACTCAAATAGATTAATGTTGAAGATGCTTTCTCTTTTTAATCAGCCTCCAACTTCAAGTTTCAAATGTGCTTCTACTTTCTGATAAAATAAATAAAAGAAACCATTACAATACATATAAATCAAGCTTTGAGATATAGTTTACACTCTTATTTAGTATCCAAGGTTTACTTCTTTAAAATTGTTGATAACATGCAACGTGAATGAGATTATCGGTAGAACAAATTTTAGTTAGTTCAAGTGACACACGCAGATATATACCTATAACTCAAATAAAGTGTAGCAATTCAACAACTCCATAAGATAAAAGATGCTCTACTGTAAATATCAAAAAGCTGAGAGGAGATAATTTGAAGACAACAAAGTATGAACTTAAATTGATTGTAGTTCATCTTTCCTTTCAAAGGCGCCCTTCTCAACTATATACTTTGCTCAAGAATACGATAAAATAAGGAATCTATGTCCACTCCTATGCTAAACATACATCAACTTAATAATATTATTCTTTGATCTGACTAACCTAAAGCAGTTAATACCTCCATTGCTAATATTAAGGAACAGAAGACCAACAAAAATAAATTTTACTACTAATGCAACAAATCAAGAATAAAAGATAGTAGGGTAGATAAACACTTTCATCTTCCTCACAATTTCCAAGTGTAAAAATCTCTAAATATGGATCGACTAATCCGTGTTTATCAAGATAGATTCACACAAAATGGTATAAGAGTTCATTAATATCAAAGTTTTCTAATAAAATTACTGAAGGTTTCGAATCTTAGACATTCCTATTCTAGCCATCATCGAAAAGGTTTATGCTAGAACTTTAAGATGTGAATGGCTAATTATCAAACCATATAAAAAAAAAAAGAGAATAAAATCTATGAACATATTACAACCAATGTGAATTTCTCTTTATTTTTTGTAGCAATATGTTTCTGGCTCCGTTACAAAGTTAAGGGGAAGTTTCTCAATGCATTTTGTATTGCCTGTAGGTGTACTTTGAAGCACGGATTTTTGTACACCCTTATAGCTCAACTTCTTTTGCATAATCATATGTTTCAATCTGGAATTGGACTATGAACATTTCTAAGTACCAAATGAGTTGTTGCTGGAAAAAAATGATCAGTCTTTTCAATTTTAACGATATTAAATGAGTAGTCACTGCAAAAATAATCATCTTTTTAAAACTTGAACGACGCAGCCATAACAATTTCTTAAGGGCTACTGTTTGAGTAGCGGAGCAATTTTATCTTAAATAGCAATATACTGATACACGTATGCACTTATCTTTATTATAATGAGCTTTCATATATATCATTACCGGTAATGTAAAGCTCTTAATCTGGCAGCATGGAAATAATTTGTCGCTCGAAATAGTATGAATTTAGTATTTAGTACTTGTTGCTCAGCAAAATAACTAAGACTCCATAAATATTACTCCTTCCGTTTCAATTTATGTGAACTTATTTCCTTTTTGGTCCGTGCCAAAAAGAATGACTCATTTCCTTATTTGAAAACAATTTACCTTTATACAATTATTTATAGCCACACAAAATATATGTGCCTCATTTTACACCACACGTTCAAAAGTCTTCTCTCTTTTCTTAAACTTCATGCCCAGTCAAATGGGTTCACATAAATTGAAACGGAGGGAGTACTATATATCTAACAAAATATCAATACTAAACTATATGCTCATTAATACCATCATTTTGAACACAGACAGATTTGAGTCCCCCTTAATTTGTCTTGAAAACTATTGAACTTTACATTAATACTAAAGGAAAAGACACGAAGTCGATGAAAAAAAGAATTCGCTGAAAACCTCTATAAAAGACCAATAGCTATAGAATCGGATAATGAAATGGATTCCCCATTGAAGGTTTCGGAACCTTTATTTCCTGCTCATACGGGCAAAGTGAATACGCAGCTACACACAAATAAAAAAATAAATTCACCCTTATCCCAAAAGAAGAAAGAAAGAAAGAAAGAAAGAAAGAAAGAAAGAAAGAAAGAAAGAAAGAAAGAAAGAAAGAAAGAAAGAACCAGTTGAGCAGCAGTGGATGAGTCCATTAATCCGAATGAGTTAAAAAAATATCTACCTTAATAATATTAGTTGAACTCAGTAAGGCTGATGACCATCACAGGAATATTAAACTCTTCTGCTTTAATCATTTTCTATAAGGATTTTTGTTTTGATCATATAATCAAACACATGATCGATTGTGCCTAATTGGCACATTTCTGAAACAATGTGGTTTCTCCCCAAACTTAATCTCCATTTTCAGACTTATATATAACAAAAAGGTTAGCCGAAACATAGTGTACGCAAGCTGATTAGTCAAATCTCCAAAAAATTTGACACCACCGCAAGAATCAAGTGAGAGAACTTAGTAATTATTTATCAGACCTTCAATAAATTCACCTAGTACTACCACTTCAGGAGTAGTGTCTAGGCATTTTAAAGTGAACTTCTAGTCCCATTTTTAACTGCTTGTCGTTATAATTATTCAAACTTGCAGTAGTCCTCCAAAGAGAAAATATTGAATCAAAGAATAATACTTGTTCACCAATAAGAGGAAAAGGTAATTATGAACAACGCTCAATGAGGGAGAGAAATTACTGAAGAAATGCCACAACTCCATAAGGGTAATTGGATAGAAACTTTTTCGAATTTCACCGTGGCACTGCTTATTCATGCCTCCCTCAAAAGCCTCAAAAAGCAGATATCAAAGTTGTTCAATTTGAAGGGGTAAACACACTGCTCATCCATGAAAAAGACCCAATTGTTTTGCATATTCACCTACCTCTTAGCATTACTTTTTTGCAAATTATTCACGTGATTAGCCTCGATGAAACAGAGTGTAAGCTCAACATTTATACAGACCAAAGATACGAAAAATTACAGATAATGAGGAAGAAGAAAGAAGGAAAAAGAGAGAGCTGGAAATTGCACTGTGTGGGCAGACGCAACAAACAATTTTTAGAATTTAGCTAAATGACAGTTTTACCCTTGGTCGACCATCATGGCTTTTCTATATAATAGAAATATTAAGGGGTGGTTTGGTAGCATGTATGAGAATAATGCGGAATAAAGTTTAGTAATGCATGGATTAGTAATATATGTGTTAGTAATGCAAGCATTAATTGTGCATATATTATTTCTTATCTAATGTTTGGTGTGGTGTATTAAAATTATAATACATTGCATAATTTTTAAGAAAAATAGTTGTTTACAAAAATGCCCTCCATATTCTCTAGCTTTAAAGGACTTTAAGGATAATTTTGTCTTTAAACATACTAATGCATGCATATAGCCTTGGTATTACTAATGTCATGGTTTTCTATGCATTACTAATGCATAGGATAATACCAAGTATGATGTATAGCTAAGTATTAGTTATACACATGTTGAAAAAATGTACCAAGCAAGGTATTAGTAATGCATAAAGCTAATGCTTGCATTATTTTTTCTAATATCTCCTACCAAACAACCCCTAAAAGCACGAAGGCCTTTAGCGAAATGTTGTCCGCCTTTTTTACCTTTTAAAATAGAGTTCACAATGAACAAAAAAGTCATTTAATTACTTTACTAATATTTAAGAATAATTTATTTTAATTAGTTTCCTACTATTTAGGAATAATCACCTTTTAGGTTTAGGAGATTTTTTTTAGTTGATAAACTTGTATATGTCAAAATCTGAACAAGAGAATCTTACTTAAGGAAGAACGACCAAGAGTCAAACCAAGTCGAGGTCACGTATGAGAATCAATACACCGACGAGTGATTCAGCTATGGTCGAGGTCGAGCATTCAATTCAGCTTGAACGGCTAGTTCAGCATTAAACATTCTAGATGAAAATTCTATAGGATATTCCAAGAACTTAGGCACTCCTGTTAAGGACCGCTGGGTAAAGAAAGTGTTTTTGCATAAATATCATGAGAGAGAGTAACAAAAAAGGGCTGAGAGGAGAACACACACATACATACATATCTCTGAAGATGAAGATGGACCTTCATCTCAAGCTCTTCGCTGAGAAGAAAGGAGAAAAGAATTTAGAATCCCGGTATTCATCCGTAATTTAACTACGTCAAATGTATGGAGGTCAGCCTTGTTCAAGAACGATGATTATTTTCATTTATGTATTCTTTGCTATCATTTAATATTATGGGAGCAATCATCCTTTTCTTACATTATGAAATTCAATCGTGACTATAACAAAATTTTATGTTCAGTTATGCTTGTTTATTCTTATCTTCTATCTCAGATCTAGGATAAATTATCTTTGGCTAGAATTTGCCTCAAATCTTCTAATTTAACTAGTTTAACA